ATCGTATCCCAATTACGTAGATCGATGCTCATGATGTTAATCACTGGATTGTCTGGTCCAGACTCGATTATTTACAGACCGCCGTCATTTAGAAGGAATATTGCTGAGTGCGGCGTTTAACAACAAACAAACAAATCATACATTTCCGGGTGTCGATTGTGCCCAGAATATCAGCATATGTTGCAAAATGTAAACTGAAAGTTGTTCGTTTCTTTATAGTAAGAACGTCCTTACGCGAATATTATGGAGATATGTTATTGTCTAGCTCATTACTTTGACAGTGCCCTAATTTTCGTTGCTAACGATATATAGCCCGAAAGATATTTTGTGGCATTGTTTGTATAGAAAAATGTATTACGTGCAATCCTACTAGTCTCAATGTAAATCCGTGACATGGCACTAGTCAGTTTTCTGTCTCTTGTCGACAGGTTTTCAATAAGTAAAGTTCTAGTCCCACTATGGCTGAAATAACACAACCTATACCTATTGTATTAAGTAGCTTAATGGCTGGGGGGGGGGGGGGGGGGGGGGGGGGGGAGGCCACAGCAGTGTTGGACGAAGAACATATTGTCAATCAAGGGTTTATCTGTTGGTCCAAACGCAATTATTCACAGACAGCCGCGATGTTGCCGTGTTATACAATAAACAATCAAGCACAAAATCTTAAGGCGTGGATACGGTTTCATTCCAAGAAGTACACACTTTGCACAGACCATAAATATATAATTATGCATTACGAGAATTATCAAGTGGAGGTAATATATTTCTATATTTCAAGCAAACGGACCAAAATAAGGCGATCGATACCTAACGCTCTCTGCACACTTTAAACATTGTTCGACTTCAACTTTCCAAAAGTCAACTTTCCTTCCTTTTCAAACAATATTACAGCAGCTCTAGCCTTTGGTGTCTACATTTAACAACTTTTGAGATACAATCGAGCAAGCTCTTTCTACCAAGATGTCAAAGAGCGTCAAACGACTTTTATCAGCAGTTGTTTGATCAAGGATACAACATTCAAGGCCTCAGTAAAGCTTTCAAAAAGTTTGTAGACATGTGGAGGACATTTCCAAATTTGACGCATCAGTGACAAAAATGATGTCCTATGCAATTCTCTATTTTGACTTGTACCGTATGTTCCCGTGTTTTGGTTGTTGTTTTTCAGGTGAACAATTGACTTGTCTTTGCATGTGTTTGTGACGGTCGCCCCAGGTGGGTCAGGATACGCTCACCTTTTCGCGAACACCTGGTATCATCACTGTTTGATAGTGATTCATAAACACATGCTCATGATATATGGAAAGGGTTTTGAAGCTTGAAGCTTTATTTATTGTTTGTTGTGGTCGAACAAAACACAGAATTGTGTTTTTGTTGATTTCACCAATCACCTACAATCCGTGTCTCCTTTAGAGTGGTCTTAAAAAACAAACTGACGGATATGGGATTAACTTAAGTACAATTTAGTGAGTGAGTGTGAGTGAGTTAATGCTTTACGTCACATCGGCAATATTTCAGCCATATCGTGACGAGAAATTATACATTTTTAAATACATATATTTTAACTAAATTTAAATCTGTCATCGATAGACAGTAAAATCACTAGAATATCACAGATTAATATTTAAAACTAGCATACAACCATAAAAAGATATCACTATAAATAACGATACAATATAAAAATGGGCTACAGATCGCCAGTAGCTGAAGGTAGATAAGTAGAATTCATTCATATGATTGTCAAGTCAAGTCAAGTATTTTATTCATTTGAAGGCCACTGGCCCATCTACAGGTAAAGTGCTTACATACATATTGCAGTGGTACATGCATTTATAAGTAACGTATATCATAGTATATCGTGTTTGCAAAACCTTGTATCACTTCATAACTTTGACATATATACATGCATTTACATAAGTTTCTTAACAACCTTACATCGTTTGAAGACATTCGGATTATGGCAATTTATTACAGACAGATAGAGGTGTCTTTTGTTCTTATAGGAGTTATAAATGATAAAATGATATTCATCTTCTATCCCTAGATTACAAAGAGGACATGAACGTAAACGTAAATCAATCCACGACCCTCGCCCTTCGTTAACTTTTAAACCTCACAACCCCGCTCTCAGTCTTATCAACATTTGGCGTTGTTTTCTATCTGTTAAAAGGGTTAGGTTCTTCTCAGGTTCGTGTAAGACTTTTAAACTATTTACATATGTTATATGTTGAACTATATTCTATAGTACTATTCCATGATTGATGATACATACCCATTGCAACCTTTTTATACAGTCTAAGAAAAGTACATTTATCTCCAACACAATGAGCATTCTATACAAATCCAAATCCATGTGAAAACAATAATGTACGTAGAGTAGGTGCATGGGTTTAGTATCCAAATTAATATAGTACATACAAATATCATAGCCTTTCTTAGGAATTCTATCATTATGCATTTCGGAAGGTTTAAGCAAATATTTTATACGACAGTGTGCATATATGCATGACGGACATCGGCCACATTCTCCATGTACGATCAAATTAGGTATTTGAGGACCAGTCAGTGAGTTTGATTTAACGCCGCTTTTAGCAATATTCCAGCAATATCACGGCGGGGGACACCAGAAATGGGCTTCACACGTTGTACCCATGTTGGGAATCGAACTCGTCGGCGTGACGAGCAAACGCTTTAACCACTAGGCTACCCGACCGCCCCTATTTGAGGACCAACGTTGAGACATTTCTTGCAAGCAATTAAAGGGACAGTTTCCATATTTTCAAATATGTTTGTATCCCACACCTCAGAGCCATATAAAAAGAAAAGGCTGTTTTGGGGTGTGGAATATGTTAAACACACAGATGGATCCACCATACCAAGTTGATACAAATGATGGATGACTTCCATTAAAGCTCGTTTACCTCCTGATGACAAATCAAGAATACCTTTATTCATTTACCTGTAGATGGGGGAAATTAGTCCTAGATATCAGTATGATTCAACCGTTAAAACCTTTACACCTTTATAAAACCATTTTTCATTTCTCGACAGACGCCAACCTCTTCTAAATACCACAATATTTTTCTTGTCTAGATTTACTGTTAAACCCCATAGATCCACGTACGTTTCTAAAATATCAACTTGTTTCTGTAACCCACATACTACATCAGATACAAGTATAACATCATCTGCAGACATCAACAACAATATTTCTAGTACATCAGGGAATAATTGTACCAAATATTTACAGATTATTCATTGATAAGAAGGCGAATACAAGAGGGCTTGTTTTAAACCAATAGGACAGTTAAACTATTCACTACGCACACCATCGCTGCATCTTACACATGCTTTTACCGAAGTTTTAGGGCTCTTAACATTTTCCCGCTTAAACCAGATGCTGACAGACAATTCCAAAGCTTAGTACAATTAACCGAGTCGAATGCCTTTCTGAAGTGAACAAAGGCAACATAGAGTTTCATTTTCTTCTTTGATAATTATTTTTGTACAATGGCATTTAAAGTCACTACATGATCCATTGCAGAATAGCCATGACGAAAACCAGCTTCAGTTCCTGTTACTTTACCTCTAACATTTGCCCAGTTAGAAAGTCTGGTATTTAAAATGTAGTTAATATAAATTTTACTACACACAAAGGTGGTACTCCTCTGTATTATCTGGATTTTGTTTGTTGCCTTTCTTATGTAGGGAATTTGTCCAGGATTCAGGAAATCAAATTCAAAATCAAGCTTGTTAAATAAAGTTCTTAAGAATGGAAACTTGACAGGTTCAGAACATTTTACCATTTGAATGATAATATTTTCCTGTCCAGGGGACTTCCCATTCTTTATATGTTTGATTTCTGCCTGAATCTCTAGATCCGTGATGTGCCACTCCTGAATGCACGTATTAATAAAATCTGAAGAAAATTCTACATGGTCGGTAGTATTGCTATTCTCACAAAATTTCATCACAATTATTAAACACTTTCTTATTTTTTATCAGTTTATTACCCCGGTCTCACGGGCCTGATAAACTTCTTAACTCTTTCCAAAACAGATGAGTCCTTAACACATGATTTAAGTATTTTTCTTTTTATATGCTGATAATTGTATTTTGATACTTTGCTTGATACTATGTTTGTATTTATTTCTTCTGTGACAATAAATTAGTTTACTTTCATTTGACTTTTTTTGGCGGAATTGCCTCAGATGACATCTAGCTTCTCGTTTAGCCTGTTGAAAGTCCAAATTATAAAATCCATCGGTGGCTTGTGTCTATTAACAACACGTTTCTGCAAACATTCAGCTGCATTGAGAATAATATTTACAAACATGTTAGTTTCTAATATACTTATCACTTTTTTAATATTTGTTTGTTTGTTTGTTGTTTAACACCGCACTCAGCAATACTCCAGCTATATGACGGCGGTCTGTAAGTAATCGTGTCTGGACCAGACCAGCCAGTGATTGACAACATGAGCATCGAATTGGGATCGATGACATGCATCAACCAAGTCAGCGAGTCTGACCACACGATCCCGTTAGTCGCCTCTCACGACAAGCATAGTCGCCTTTTACGGCAACCATGGGTTGCTCAAGACCTATTCTACCCCGGATCTTCAAGGGTCTACTTTTTAATAGAAGGGGACGAATTACTAAGCGTATCTAAATATAATGTAGCCTTGTTCACATCCCATCTGTATTTACACCATTCTTTCTGGATTCTCGGCATTTGAATTTTTTAATTATGGTCAGAAGGAAATTTTAAAAATAGCGTCAATACTTGGAATCGACCGTACATTCCATAAGAAATTCATGACAAAACGTATGTACATCAACGGAACCAATAAAATAACTGACCACACTGCACCCTTGTTGAGATATATAGGTGTACCTCTCTTCCATATCACCACATGGTCTACCATTAAATATGTACAAATTATGAGTAAAACATAACTCACGTAGCTTATGCCCGAAGGCGTTAACAACATTATCGTGGGGCTGTCTATGATTAATAGGAGGTGACTGTTCCTCGGGAAAGGCCGTGGTATCGAGGCCTGGTTAGTGTGTGTCTCTGGTGGGTTATTATCCCCACCTACACGAGTGTTCAGGTCCCCGTATATGATCTCACAGTCGTGGTCAGCATGCTCAGTCAGCCACTGGCCAACTTTCTCTGTAGCCGTTGTCTTATCAGTTGCCACACACAGTGTTGAATCGATAGGGCATACATTCCAAACAGTAAAATAACTCTGCTACCACAAAGTGTTTTATCAGTCTTTAAGCCTACAACGTTATCAATGTCAAGTGTAATTTTTGTAGCAGTATGTAGTTATTGTGTTCTTCACCAACAAGATTACACCGCCGGAATGTCAACCAGCCTTAGCTAGCCAATGGCCTTTAGCGATAGACATACCATAAGTAGAGAGCTGAGGTATGGCTTCTTCTTTGTCAATGAAAGTTTCGACTAGGCATACAAAAAAATATTATTTCGAACGTTTATATATTTTCCATAAATTCAGAATCTTATTTTTGCTGCAAAGCCTTCAATATACCAAGGTTAAAGTTTGAAGTCTGAAGGGACACTGGCATGTTTTGCACTGATAAGTATTCAAAGTTATGGGCCCCTAGCTATTATCCATCGTATCACCGCAGCCAGGTGGTGTCACAGGAGCACAAGGGCGCTGGTCTAGCCCGGGGGTACCTTCGGCTTGAGTTTAGTCTTGAGTTGTTTTCAGGAGTCCCAGGCCTCATAATCAGCTTACCGTTCTTTATCAATATTCCAGCTATATCACGGCGGGGTACACCAGAAATGGGCTTCACACATTGTACCCATGTCGGGGATCGAACCCGGGTCTTCGGCGTGACGAGCGAACGCTTTAACCACTAGGCTACCCGACCGCCCCTGATCGTTAAGGATAGAGAAATTCTGTCTTTACAGCTATCAAACGATTCATCCTGTTGATCTCAGAGCCTTGTCTCTACAAGTTCAACTTTAACGTTAAGTGAGTCGATATCGCCGTATATGGCACCCTGCGCATGGCTTACTCTATAAAGATCATTTCGCATGTCTGATAGTGTGGTTTGTCAATGAGACATTGCATCATGGATGAGCCATCGCTTCCTGTCCGTCAAGTGGAGGTCGTTCCCGCTGATCAGTGTCATCCTCACGGCACAGTAATGTTGACGTGCGGATATGCCAAACATAGGGAAAAGACTTTCTCGAAACCGCGTATCCAGCTTGGCTAAAACAGCCCCTGTGGCTACATCGATAAAGACGATCCTCCCTCTCCATATATCCACTGCAATACCATAGTGCAGGGTAGTCTCTGTCCCGGGCGAGTGATGCATTCTGATAGTTTGGCGCACATCCTGCCTCCCCTCTTGCCAAATGGATGTACAGATCACTGGTCGATGTAAGTTGCAGCAGCTCACACTGACACACCAGTATCGGGGCTGACATCTGATATGGTAGTTACCGTCTACAGAACCTACCTCTGCAATACCCATCTCCAAGATAGAATCGCCTGATTCCAACACACCTCTACCCATCTTCACAACAGAATGTGTCTCCCAGTATTGAACAACATCACTTCCATGATTGAGGCTGTGGGTACTAGTGGTGCCACGGTACTGCATCAGCTGGCCCCAGCTCCATTGCCGTGTTGGCCGGTTCACCAGATGGCAGTCTTGAGTTACATGGCAATGCTGTCGGTTGGCCCGGTCAGCGTGCATATAAAGTATAGGACCTACAATTAAAGAGATGAATCATATACTGCGTGCACTTGGGAAATCTTGTTTGCCGTCTATTAATAAAAATAGTCTGTAAATCAAAATATCTATTTGTCATCAGTGGATCAAATACACTACACTATACATTCGTTCATATGACTAATGGGGGCGGTCGGGTAGCCTAGTGGTTAAAGCGTTCGCTCGTCACGCCGAAGACCCGGGTTCGATTCCCGACATGGGTACAATGTGTGAAGTCCATTTCTGGTGTCCCCCACCGTGATATTGCCGGAATAATATCATGAGCGGCGTTAAACTATACTCACTCACTCATTCATATGACTAATGATGACCCTTCTTCATTTGCAATTTTGGGATTTTTCTTTCAAAATATAATTCGTTCTATTTTTTCTGGGTCAAGACAGAAAATTGAATAAATATATCTTCATTTATCGACCCAAAGGATAGGTGACATTTTTGGATAATGAATTTGCAGCAATATAATGTTTAATGTCATCGTTTGATAAGTATATATGATGCAGCAACAACGAACCAGATGCTACTTCATTACAACGGTCGTAATATTCAATTTGAATTAACTTACATGCTACATAAAGTTGTCGTATAGACTCATGATAAGTTAAAGGTGACCCTGAAAATAGAAACTTTTCTGTTGAACATCAAGGAATAACATGACACAAACAAATGCATATACACATGGCGAGAACTTGGTGCTTCATTTACATCCGCAAAGGCTAATATTTGTATGCATGAATCTAAGGTTAGACACACATTGAGACGGTTTCAACAAACTTTGTCCAAAGAAGGATGTTATGTTTATGGGTGATAATGTACAATTTTTTAACATTAGACATGCAGTTTTAAATTTAAAGACTGTAGAAGTGACACCTGTTTATAATATAATATTATCCAGTTCATTACCTCTTACTAACTCTTGAATAAAACTATACTGAGATAATCCTCCTGAAGGGAAGTATTTTCGAATGCATGATTTAGTAAATATTGATATGTATACAAACGAAGATTTTGTTGTGAAGTTTCCACGTGTGTCCTCTTTTCTCCGTGAATTTGAATTCCCTATAAACAAACAGTTTAGTTAAACTTCGTTACATTGCATTCATATGTAACTAAAGCTATTGTTATCTAATATTTTAAACTTTTTGTCAGTGATATCCATAAAAACCTATTTAAACTACGGTTATAACGAACTCAAGGGGACCACTAATTTTAGTTCGTTATAACCGTAGTTCGTTATACGCATATATACAGCATAACTACAGCAAATTTTATTGACAAAAAAGTAAGTTCGTTATATCCGTCAGTTCGTTATAAGCGTGTTCGTTATATACGTAGTTTACTGTATTAATCATTACAGTTCCGCATTTGCTGTAATTGATGGACGACCAAACGATAAAATATACATTGAATTACCAAATATCAAATACTCACCATGTCCCCAACGGAAGATGCACCCCTTCTATCTATTCGAGGGGAACCTGCATGGATAATGAGCATCATCAACGGCCAGAAATACTGATTTTTCTAATTATAAGCTTCCAGTGTACGAATAGGGGCGGTCGGGTAGCCTAGTGGTTAAAGCGTTCGCTCGTCACGCCGAAGATCCGGGTTCGATTCCCGACATGGGTACAATGTGTGAAGCCCATTTCTGGTGTACCCCGCCGTGATATTGCTGGAATATTGCTGAAAGCGGCGTAAAACCATACTCACTCACTCCCTCACTCATTGTACGAATAGATCTCAAATTTCTTGAAATTTAAAAGTATGTGCTACACTCGATCAGAACAAAAAACAAGCACGTTTCTTTTTACCTGTGTTTTCTTGTGGAACTTCTCTCAGCTCTTTCTTGTCAATTCCACCTCGAGTGTAAAGACTATCAAAAAATATTTCGAACTTGGCATCACTTTTTCTCATCATAATCAACAAAAGCTGCCTGCATGCTTCCTTGCTATCTGGTTTGAATGTTGATATTGCTTGGTAGTCGCATGATTCCAAAACGTGTTCTTGGAATAAGTAGTCAATGATTGAAATATCCAAATGATCTAATATGTATTCAAAATTCTGACGAAGTCGTTCCTTCGAGCCCATTGTGGAGACGTCATGTCTGAAACAGAAATACACGCTATGTAAAACAATGACAAGCTGTATCCTCGTTCATTGTTGTGATTGATGATTGACTAAGTGAGTGAGTGTGGTTTTACGCCGCTTTTAGCAATATTCCAGCAATATCACGGCAGGGGACACCAGAAATGGACTTCGCACATCGTGCCCATGTCGGGAATCGAACCCGGGTGTTCGGCGTGACGAGCGAACGCTTTAACCCCTAGGCTACCCGACCGCCCCGATGATTGATGAAGGGGAGTAACTAAAGATAAACATAGCACAAATACTTCAAACAGGTAAATGATCAATGGCAGCATTACGAAATCCAGCACATACAGATAAATAATCATTTACTGATATGGATGAGTGAGTGAGTATGGTCTTACGTCGCTTTTAGCAATATTCCAGAAATGTAGCCATGTCGGGAATCGATCTCGGGTCTTCGGCGTGACCAGCGTACGCTTTAGCCACTAGGCTACTCGACTTCCCCTGATATGGATGAAGAAAACTATATTAAGGACTATATGCTTCTTTAATCTATTTCTGGCGATCACATTTCACCTAGCGGTACACTATGGTTTTACATTGCTCTGATTTTCAGGTTATATGCTACCGAACAACTTATTCGATTCAGTTTTAAAACGTTGAAGACATTAAGACAAATACTGTTCAAATTGGCGTTAAGAAAAACTCACTCACACACTCACTCTCTCACTGTCAAACTGCCATGGCTTACTTGTATAAGCTAAACATCTATTGGACCAATATTCAAAGATTAAATGATTATCCCCAGAGCGTTAAACAGACGTCCTGGGAAGGATACCGCGGTCCAAGTCTAAGGGAGTGGTATTATTCAAATAGGTCTCATGAAAACAAGACTATTTCTTTTCATTTTTTTTACATACACTTATACCTTGGTATCCTGCGCCGGAACTCTTGACTGTTTCCCATAACTAATTGTTTTTGTACTTACAAACATGATTCACCTTAATTCCAAACCAACAGATTACCATCCTTATGTAAGGAACATCAGTGTATGTACAATGACACATGTCGACGAAACCATGACCACAAGAAAGAACGAAGGCCAAAGGATATCGTTCATTCGTAAGATGTGTTACCTCTCATTTAGGAAACATTGAGACTGCACAAAGTAAGAACAAGACTATACTGTGTGTCACTGAAAGAAAATAAACGACTTCAGCAACGTTTACTGATGGATGGGTCTACAAACAATATTGGTTGGTTGGTTGGTTGGTTGGTTGGTTTGTTGTTTAACGCCGCACTCAGCAATATTCCAGCTATATGACGGCGGTCTGTAAATACTCGAGTCTGGACCAGACAATCCAGTGATTAATATGATAAGCATGTAATTGGGATCGATGACATGCATCAACCAAGGCAGCGAGCCTGACCACCCGATCCCGTTAGCCGCCTCTTACGACAAGCATGGTCGCTTTTTACGGCAAGCATGGGTTGCTGAAGACCTATTCTACCCCGGCTCTTCACGGGTCACAAGCAATATTGACATGAGGGTATAGTTCTCGATATTACTTTCAAACGTTTGGCCACTAAATCAGGCAAAGGCCGACTTTGAAATATGCAAACAATGGAATTGATAACATATGTATAGGTAGCATTCTCAGAAAAAGATCACTTTCACAACTGTCCCACAAGATTTCAAATTCAGGAACCACCAACAGTTTCATTTTCCTATAGGAACACCGATTCATCCAAACCAGTGAAACTGTGCGATGAAATGTTTTATTTTACAGCTTTATGTTAACTGTAAGCGAATAAAATACTGACTTATATCTGAAAAGAAAGAATCTCTGCCAAAAACACAGTTGATTGTACAATTCCGACTATATCATGAGCATGTGTTTAAGGATCATTATCGGATTATGATGATACCAGGTGCTCGCGAAAACGTGAGCGTATCCTGCCCCGCCGGTGGCACCCGTCACAAACACAGGCAAAGGCAAGTCAGTTGTGACGACATAATGCTATTTATATAAGAGTTGTGTGATTTTAGGTATTTTATATATTATTTGATAAATGTTGAGAAAAGACAGGGCTAAGTTTACATCCCTGTCTGAAACCGGTAGAGCAATCAAATATATTCACATAGGTTTCTTGCCTGCTCAAAAACAACAGACGACTTAACATAATCGTATGAACTTTGAGGCACTTAGAAAACGTTTCGATGTATCCTGTTCTTCAAAAGAAGATAAAATAACTTATTCCGATTTTCCACACGAAAATCGTACATAACACACAAATGTTTTGGTGTTTAGTCTGAAAAAGGGATGGAAGAAACCGAATTCTAAAACAAGAGTTTAAACAATATCAGTCCAAACAAAATGGAAGTGAAAAATTCAAGAACATAACTCTCGAAACTCATCTTGATCAATGTTAACTTCATGGATGTGGAGAAATAAAACACCAGGGGTTAAGACATTCGGTCAGTGATAAAAAAACAAAACAAGTGTAAAATAGGCTTATAATACCAAAGCCACAAAATCAATTAATTAAGAAACATCTGAAGTATCATTATTGATATCCAGTTTTGCCCTAGTTTGAAGGTTACAAATGATTGTTACAATTACCCTTAAGCAACACCAAAATAGGATCACAATGACTTGAAGGCACATTAATACATCAACTAGCATTAATAACGACAACACTTAAAACGACAGTCTATTTGATCCAAGGGAATATGCTCTCATTTGCAAAACGTGGCGATGCATGTTCTGACGTCTTGGCTGCGAAATCATGCATTGCATAGAGAATAACTAACGAGCTACGTTGAATTACGAGTGAATGAATGTTACAATATGGATATCCGTAATATTGAGTTTCCAGTAGGTTATTCTGAATACACTCAACAAACATTGAAACGCAAAATGAATTATCCTCCTTAACATATGTCAGATTTCTACACATTGAAATAGAGAAATATTGGATATAATGAGTTCCGTTGTGTTTGATGTGTCGAACTTACGATTGTCTCGAATAAACAACATGGTCCCTGCCTATTCCTTCTTTATTCATCATGTTCGGTTGTGTCGAACCTCAGATAACTCGAAGTATTTACGTAGGTCCCTTCAACCTCGTCACAACGGTGTTTGCCTGTATGTCGTCTTCGTAACGGCGCCAAAATCTGCGCACGTAATCTGCAAACGAAACATGAAAACAAGGCCTTAAAAATTGCAGGGCGCTGTGTTTCCTGTCCTCTATATCTGGACGACACATAACAGAAAACACCTGCCGCGACTGACTGAAGTAGAAAAAAAACTTTGCTATCGGTTGAAACAGGTGAATCAAGGTCGATCGTGGGGCTCTTCATTTATCCCCAAGCACTATTACCTGACTCTGGAGTTGGTACCGACACCAAGGTACAACAAGTGACGAAGATCCGGTCGACAACCTGTGACCATCATAGCCCAGGACTGCTACTTCCACGTATAAGCAAAAGGACCGCCACATCAAGATCTTCAGCATCCGCCATACAAGGACCACCACACCACACTCTACAGCATCTTCCCTACCAGGACCACCACAGCAACCTCTAAAGCATTCGTCCTACCAGGACCACCACAGCAACCTCTACAGTATCCGCCCTACCAGGACCACCACAGCAACCTCTAAAGCATTCGTCCTACCAGGACCACCACAGCAACCTCTAAAGCATTCGTCACACCAGGACCACCACAGCAACCTCTGCAACATCCGTCACACCAGGACCACCACAGCAACCTCTACAGCATCCGTCCTACCAGGACCACCACATCAACCTCTACAACATCCGTCACACCAGGACCACCACATCAACCTCTACAACATCCGTCACACCAGGACCACCACAGCAACCTCTACAGCATCCATCACACCAGGACCACCACAGCAACCTCTACAACATCCGCCCTACCAGGACCACCACAGCAACCTCTACAACATCCGTCACACCAGGACCACCACAGCAACCTCGACAGCATCCATCACACACCAGGAACACCACAGCAGCCTCTACCACATCCGCCTTACCAGGACCACCACAGCAACCTCGACAGCATCCATCACACACCAGGAACACCACAGCATCCTCTACAGCATCCGTCACACCAGGACCACCACATCAACCTCTACAGGATCCGTCACACCAGGTTACCGTAGGATACGTCAGTGGTGTCAGATCAACAGAGTATGTCCTTACCTGCCATGGAGAGCTGTGTTGTGACATTTCTGCTTCGTCGTGCGGATGGAAGAAGTCATGCATTAAGGAAGTCGATAGATTCGACGGAAGTGGTGTGATGATGTGGGCTGGACTCGTCATTGTACAGGGTGCCGTTGTACAAAGCGATCTTAGCGCTAAGGTGCCCGTCACACCCATACCTTAACACAGACTTACGACAGTCGTAGTGCTGAGGTTGTTATGAACAACGACACCCAGGGCAACTTAACTGCACAATTTTACTGAGAAGAAATTCCAGCTACAGGGTACCAATGATGGGACTGGCTAATTGTAAAGTGTTGACTTGAGAAGTAACAGCTGGATTGACGTTGGTTTGAATCTGAATCTTGTGATTGACATATACAAACTAGAAATAATAAGAGTCGACTGTTTAAGTGGATTGTCAAGAATTGTAGTTGGAACTGCAGCAGTGTAAGGTGAAGTTCACTGTGGACTTACACATACGGG